TGAGATGGGGAGACGGGGCTACCGGGCTTTGGGCTGATTTGCCAAGGACAACTCATTTGGGCTAAAGGGTGGGCTTTAGTCCATCCTTGCAAGTTCGGGAAGCCAAAAATGACCAACGGGAGTAGTGTGACCCAGCAAAGTGAGCCCCTCCTCAGGAGACAGTGCAAAACAGCCAACTGCTGTAGTCTTGCTTGACCTTGGCCCAATGGTTGGCCGAGTCCTCTTTGGGGACTGATGACGAGCTGGGCCTGCAGGGTGCGGGGAGGCGGCCCTGTGTTTGCACGTTTCCATTTGATGTGTGTGAATGTCCTCAAATGACCCACCTTGCCTGCAGAAGAAAGCCAAGTGTCACACCCAGTTCTGCATTCCACATTAACAGCCCCCTTCCGCAGTATTACACTTTGCCCTTGAGGCCTTTTGTTTAAGTTTTTAATCTGAAAAACAGATTGTGCTGCATCACAGTCCACTCTGCCCTCTCTGCCCCTGCCACCCCAGCACTCGCTGTTCCTTTTGGGGGTTAAAGTAAAATATGCAATATAAAAAATATCTCTCAGAGATTTTTTCTTTTCCCTCTAGAATGTGCTTCCTGCCCTCTTAGTAAAAAGAGGATGTAAAAAGCCTTTTTAAAAGTGGCTGCACACTTCAGAGCATCTGTTGTTAACTCGGGGGTTGCAGCTGGGGCCTTCCTCAGCTGTATCTTCAGCAGCCCCATGTCCATATTTTGGAAGATGGCCCCTGTGTTCTGATGGCTCTCCATGAGGCATCAGAAACGGAAGAGATTGGTACCTTCAGAGGCACCTTCTGCTATTTCGGGCTTCCTGTTTAGGATGCAGTCAGATAGATATTGTTTATGGTTCATAAAACCTGACTACTGTGAGTATTCCAGAATCCCAGCGGAATGGGATTCGAACTTTCATGGAGCCGTAAATTAACGGGTGGCAAGTGTGATAAAACTCCTTAGAGAACTGTGAGGGGAAAAAAGTCGCACTGCAATGGTTAAATGAAATTTTATAAGCACATTCAGTGTGGAGCTGTTTTGCATTACATGAGTTGAATACCTTAGAGACGCCACATCTGCAGGCACTTTATTAAATCCTTAGTCAGCACTTTTCCAACCTGATGAGATTACTTCTTCATTTGACTGGAGAAAAGGAAAGCTGAGCTCTTGTCCTGGACTGCAGATTTCTTTTGATGTTTCACCTTGAACACTGAAAGAGGACAATCACCCCCCTTCCCTCCCCACTCCCGCTCAGCACATCCCAAACGTAGACATTGTGAATGTTACCGACTAATTTTCCGTAACTGGAGCCTTGGTGGGAGTGTGGATTTATGGACCTCCACACCAACTATAGCTGAAAGTTTCCGAGGAGAAAATAGATCAAAGCTCTGCATTTACTTCCTTAATGTAAATGTATCGAGATAACATCATCCTATATTGTATTGTAATAATGCCACTCACGACTCAGAGGCAGGGAGAGTCCTTTGTAGTCCATTTGGATACAGTAGGGTAGATTAAGGAGCTATAAAGTACGAAGGCAGAAACCATATGAAACCTAAGCTTATGTCAGTAGATATCTGAGAATGGTTTTTTGACTCTCCATAAATGGATTTTGTTTAATGTGTCAACATTTTCTCAGTGATTTGCTACTCAACCCCAACAAAATCAAATAGTCTCAGATGTCTTTTATGTTTTTCTTATATGACCCAAGAAGAAAATATGCAGAGTCATTCCTCAATGAATGTTCTAAAACTTGTACTACTTGCATAATGGAAATTATAAGAAACTATGACAAGAGAAAAGTAGGTTTTTACAAACATTATATTGTCCATCTGGTGTTACTAGCAGCTCACGGAAGTTTGTAGAAATTGATTGGCTTACACGTGTGTGACTGTCACACTCATCCCAGTGGAATTATGAGTGTCTTTACAAACTGATTAGGAGAAAATTCAGGGAGATGTATGAATTATTATTATTGTTATTGTTAGAACTGTCTATCTGCCATCTCTGCAAATAAATGATTTAATCAGAGACTTCAAAAAAAAAAATTCCCTGTGTGGTTTCCCTAACCAAGTCCCTATTCTGGAAACCCTTGGTCAAGTAGCTGGGTTAATTGTCATGAAGATTAGAGTGATGTTGAAATAAGTACTAATGGTCAAATTATAGGAGTGAACAAGTTTAAGAATAGGTTTTGGTTTGGGCCTGAAAGGGTTAATTAAGGTTTTTTCACGGGTTATTAAAGACCCCCAACCTCTGCCTTTAGGAGTCATATTGACACCCCACCACAGGGCAGCTCAGCCCCTCTATTGACATGTTGCTGGTCAGAGCACAATAGCCTTCTGTGTCTGCAAATCATTGCTAAAATCATCTCAAGGAAAAAAAAAAGTTTTTCAAGCTTTAACGTTAGACAAAAGCCCAAGAGTTGCAGTGCGCAGCTCAAAAACCCAGAGTCAGCAACTTCTATTGATTAAAAACTAACCTTTAAAGTAACTCTGAGAGTGTGTGGTTAGCATTTAAATTTAAACATGTCATGAGTTGATTTGTGTTACTGAATACCAACTCAGAAGGAGTAACATTCACATCGCATTTTTTTTTTCTAATTCCCTTAAGCAGCTAAAGTATTTCATGAAATGTCAATAGGGCAAAAAGAAAAAGAGGAGGGGGGGCCAATGCCGGGCCTTGTAGTTTTCTTTCCCATGCAAATATCCACCCCCCAAAAGAAAAGTGTGGAGAGTGAAACACAATAATTAGTCCTTTGTCTAACTTTCCCAAGTGCCAGAGAAAGACAGATTAATTAAATATACAACAGTGTTGGTTTTTGGAGTGGGGGTCCTGCTTGCTGTGTAGGTCATAAATTAGGCAGAATAAATACTTCAATGTGTTTGCAGTGGGCCTGCTACGTCAGAACCACTGGAAGGTTGGTGGGAGGAGAGCAGAGGGTTTCTTGCTAATGATAGTCACGTCTGGGTCTGTCTGGTTGCTCTTAGCAACCAGACATGATGTAACACCAGGATGAACTTGAACTTGGGGGACTTGAAAAGAGAACAATAGACCAGAGCAATCAATAAAGCCTATTTCAGTGAAGGATTACAGAGCTGCTCTGGGGTAACCTTGTCGGCAAGGCACAAACTGAATAGTAAGATGTGTGAAGAAACTTTTTTTTTTTTTGCTTTGCTTTTTAAGATAAGTGCAGAGGCGCTGCAGATTTTTGTAGTGCCCCGAGGTCTCGTCCAGAAACTGTGGTGTGGAAAACTGCTCCCCCTGCTGACTCACTGGGTCCCAGGCCTTTGCTTCAAGAACTACCTTAGTGTCAGATTGAAGAAGTCTGGAATTTCACAACCGCCTTAGAAAGTGTGAAAACAGAAATAGTACGCATTAGTCCCTGCACCCAAAGTTTCAGCCTGTTTTGCTCAAGAGAGGAAGCGGCTGTAGCGTGGATTAGAGTCAGCTGTTAGGTAGAGGCCTACTAGAAACACACTTTGGGGCTCACCTTCTCCCTCCTTTCTCTCTCCCCCTCTTCTTTCTTTAGTCCAGTTAGATTTAGGCCGTGTGTATTTGCCAGGCTGATTTCCTTTCAGGACACAAGAGGCTTTATTGTGTTCCACAAAGCATGTGGTCAAAGAATCACATCTAAAAGTCTACAGGATGAGTAGTTTTTCGGTTTGGGCTTAAGTTTTTTAAACTCCTCTGGAAATCAAACGTGGCTTGTGTGACTAGGAAATCTTATACCAAACTCCATGTAGCTATCATTTAGCCATTCATCCCTGGGGACCAAATGAGTCCTTACTTTACCTAATTGAATCTCTTCCACAGGGATGGTCCTTCACCTGCCTAAAGCAACCCAATTAGAACCCTTTCTGATACTGTCACCTTAGAGAATTCAGAAGCATGGGCTTTTGCTACGCTTTGGTAATTTTTCTGTAAATAATGATAAATGTAGTGAATTTGTCAGGGTATCTCTAGAGAAAAGTCGGCAAAAGCCGCATACTTTTTTATTTCACTGGAGAAACTAACTCTGATGTTAGTCCATAATTGTTCACTCTGTCTAGCTAACAGAAAAAGAAATGCCAGCAAGATAAAGTGATAGATGACCAGACAATTACTCAAAGCTAATCACCTAAGCATTTACAAAAAGAAGATAACCAGTAACTGGGCCCAGCAGGCTGTATAGAAGGCTCTAAATAAATGCTGCACGAATGCAAGTATGAATGAGAGAGGTATGCCGTGGCCTCATTTTTCCTTTGGACAATGTGGTACTTAAGAGTAAAATCTTGATCCTACTTAGTTACTATGTTTCATTTTTGAAAATATGATTTTAGAAATATTAGGCTGAAAGGAGCATCTTCCCTCATAAAATCTTGCATATATAAGGAAAGAAAAATGCTGTGACTTGCTCAGAATCACCCAGAAAGACTGGTACAGCTCCTTTTCCACTTTACCTCCAGTCATTCTTGTATCAGTATTGACCATCTGTGCCTGTTAGGAGAGTGCCACAATCATGTCTTCAGTGCCTGTACCTCATCTGAAAGGAGATGTTGAAAATCATCAGAGTAGCCATTCATTGACACATGAAACCTCTCCCTTCACCCATTCTCCATTCATTCAGCCCTTCTTCATTAAGAACATTCTGTATTCCAGGCACTGGGCTAGGCACTGAGGATTGAATGATAAACAAGATGGTCAAGTTTCCTGCCCTCTTATGACTGCCTCCATCAGATAACAAAACCCTTATTTGTATGTCAAGTGAACAGAAATACCTCATTTTGTAAGACACACTTGAATGTTGGAAAACCCGAATGAAGACAATGAAGTATAATTTCAGAGGAGTAAGATCAGTTTCAGCGTCACAGGATTTACTATTGTCTGCCATTCCTTTTACGCTTCCCAGCGAACCCTCCCACGTCCCTACGTACATACTGATTTCATGGTTGAAAAGGCAACTCCTAAAACACGCTATTTTACAAATTGTGCTTCTAACTGCACTTCTCCTTTTGTCTTCCAGTCCTGGTACCTGGGATAAAAGTTGCAGCGTCCCACCATCCACCAGACAGACCACCTGACCCCTTCTCAACTCTGTAACACGGACGCAACCTCAACCCAGCGCAGTTCCAACTTCACTGTCAGTGGAAGGGGAGAAAAACCGATTCAAATCAACTTGTACATGGAAACAGCAAGCATTATGGTCAAACAGCAAAGGCCATAACCTTTTGGGCTTTTTTTTTTAAATACTTTAGGGACTGTTGTAATTTCTCATATGGTGCTGGAAATGGTTGGGCTTTGTAACATTTGAAGTGTTTCCATAGTAGCGTGAGCATTAGGTGACGTGGCTAGCAGAGGACTACCCTTGCTCACTGACTTCCTGTTGTAACACACTTTCCTTACAGAGCCTGGCTGTTTCACAGTATTTCATGAATTTACCCACACAGGTGTGATCCTCCTTGAGCATCGAGGAGGCACGTGGAGAACTAAATCTTTTGTAGTAGCTGAGATCTGCAATATATAACTTACGGGACAGTCAAAGGGCAATGTTCTTGTGTAACATATTGGAAAAAGAAAATGCAGTTCTATTCCTTTTTGATTTGTTCTTTTAGTTTGTTTTGGTTCAGCAGTCAGCAGTTAAGTATATAACATGGCCCGCAAGGACAATGAATCCACTTACATTGCAGAACAATTCCGAAAATGGCAAACTACTACTACTACTGTTCAGTTTTGTAAAAGTTTTGAAATGCTGCACTTACATTTAAAAAAAACAACATTTTTTCAACAATTTCAACAATGACACAAAAATTCACATGGAAATGGGGAAGATGGTCTGTTTTGACAGAAACTGACAGGAATCAATCAAAACAATCGAATTTTGAATTGAGTAAAGTGCAATTTCATTGGATAGCTAAATATCTTTGTAAGATAGAGATTGTTGAAAATTCTATTTTTGTTTTTCAAGTCCTTTCACCCCAGGACTCTAAATTATTGGGGTAAAAAACAGCCTTGCAAGAAAAAGGGGAGCTATTTTTGCTTTTTATGTTTTTTATTGTTAAACTTGTATCCCTTTAAAAAAACTGAAGGAAATTTAAAAAAAAAAAAAAACAAAAAAACAAATCTAATGGTGCTTTTACCACAATATGTTAACTACATTAAATGCTAATTATTTTCTGTTATCAAAGCACATGACTAAAATGAAATCATGGTATCTGTTAATTTTATAAGCTAGAAGTCACTATAATGAATTATGCCAATTCTAAAAGTTTTTACACGTATCTGGCATCATAGGATTTATCAGTTACCAGACACCTCATTGTACCAGAGATTGTCCAGAAGTTTTAAAGACCTGTGCATCCCTGAACTGGGCTATGGGAAATAATAATAGTAGTAATAATAATAATAATAATGAAACCAATACTGACACAAATGCTGGTGCCCATTCAGATCAAGGGTACTTGTTAGGGAAAAAAAAAAGTTTGCACCCCCAAATGTCCTGTATCTTATGAAAAAAACAAAAAACAAAAAAACAAAAAAAACAAAAAAACCACAGAAACAAAAACAAAAAAAAGTGCAAGTGATTTTTCTACCAGACAGCGAAGCACCCCTTTGCTTCCCATGCGACTTCAAGAAGGTTTCCTATACTATACATATATATACGTTCTGGTTGGCAAGCCCTGCTGATCAGAGAAAGTCTCTGCATGTTCTAGTGTTAGTAACTAATTTTTATATAGTTAATGTAGGATAAAGTAGAGTGCATTAAGACACAATATTGTAATCCCTACTCTAGGCACTTGCCTTTAAACTATGTTTTTCAGCCCTTCAGAAGGGTTCTACTACTGTCCTATACAATCAAGTAACTGAAATTCTTGGGAAGACACTTTGCTCCTCATCTTTCCCCCCCGAAACAATGTTGTTTTGTTTTGTTTTTTTTCCTTAATTTGCACGAAAACAAAAATTCCATATCAATGTGCCTTGCCCTGGATAGCGATTATTTGTGGAATTGTTGCACATGCTCCTCTTTTGAAAGGGGTTTTTCCCTAGTCAAGCATTTGGAGACACTTTTTGTAAATGTGACTTTTATGTCAGCCATCGTCAGTTTCAACATCTAGAACTAAATAGGAAGCTAGTTGTTCCGCAGATAGGAGTAGTCTTTATTGTCCTGTACGGTCGGTGGCAGTGCTATTCTGAGATCTGTAGATGCTTAGAATATCAGTATTTTGGATGTTGCTGCATTTTACAATTTATTTGGAGTCTTCCTTTATTTTCCCCCAGATATATGAAAATATGCAATACCTGCTTATATCATGTAGAAAAGCTTAGCAGTTACTAGTTTTTCTTTTCCTTTTTTTTTTTTATTTGACCAAAGTCGGTGCTGCACTTGACGCAGTGTGTTTTAGGTGTTTGTCTTTGTACTTTTTTGTGATTTTTGAATGCACGTGCGCAGGAAGGGCTCCTCTTAGAGAAGCAGTCAAACTGTGAAGCACTAAGCTGACCCTGCTTCAAGCAATTTTGTTTTTACAACTGTTCCTTTCACAAGCAAGCCTTAAAAAAAAAAAAAAGACAACTTCCTTTTTCTTCAGCTCCCACACCCCATTTTTCTTAGCAGACTGCAGTCAATCCACATTCAATAAAAAGTATATAATGCCCATTTTTATATGCACGTTTTTAAACTTCCAAGTTCTGAAAATTGTTTACTGGTTATCTCTATTTAAGGAAAAAAAAATAAAATAAAACATTTTGGATTTTCATATGTGTCTGATAAGTGGTTGAATAGTCGTTTGGCGCTGTTGTATGGTGTGATTGTCAGTGTATGGTGTCACTTCCTATAGCCAGCCAGCATACTTTGCCTTCCCCTATAGCACTTAGCTGGGCATTACTTTATTATGACATATGTGCACTAAAAAAAAAAAAAAGGAAAAAAGAAAAAAAAAAAGAAAAAAATAGCAGCTTTCAGTGCTTCACAGTGAAGGGAAAAAAAGCCTAGACAAACATTTTGTCAGAACCTTGCAATAAGCCAAGGTATTACCAGTAAATTGGTTGTATATACAATAAAATTGCACCCTTTTTTAAACAAAACAAACTAAGCAATAGTTTGGGCAGTTTTAGTTGTTTTTAGTGAGCATGTTGTAGTCATGACTGCAAAGAGAGAGAATAAACTGCCCACTCAGAAGATATGTAATTTGTATTGTTGTATAGTTTTATTGATTACACTGATTTATTCTACCCTATTTTATAATGCAGGACTTTTGTAATGTTGTTTAAATGAGGAAAAATTTCTGTCAAATTAGCCTAGTGAAATTTCTGATTGTTCATTATAAAGGCAGCATTCATAGAATTGCTTTTCTTTCTTTTTACCCCCCCCTTTGGGAACTGGATTTAAGTTTAAAACTTTCCTGTTTCCTTTTTTTTTTTTGTAAGTATTTAAATACAGTTATTTTTTTTTTCTCTCAATGGTATAGCATATTCCTATGCTTGAGAAGTATAGGTCTACTGAAAAACCATTGTAAATGGACGTTACAGGTATGCTGTATTTTTGAAGGTATTTTGTTGTATTAAGTTTGATGAAGCTAAAATTAGGGAACTCTGAACAGAATTGCAGGAAAAAAAATGTTTTAAAGGCTTTAAAACATTAGGGAGGCAGTCTAGGGAGGGTGATAACGAACAGGGGTTAAGTATTAAATACACTAAGTTACATTTTTGTTCATGTTTCATTGTCCAGAAAGCAGCAGGAAACTAGTTCAGTTGTGATCAAGCAGGAAAAAAGAAACACCAACAGTTTCCAGTGTTTCTGTTTTTTAGCTTAAAAGCCTAGTGAAGATGTTTGAGGAAGACTTTGCTACCTGGGGTGTGTAGACAGACAGACCGAGAGCTATCAGCATTTGAAGGCCCAGCCCTTGACTCTGAGACACATTGGAATTTTTTTCTCTCCCATCAAATGGCATTAACAAGATTGGCAAAGATGAGTCCCTCAAATCTCTGTGGTTTTTGTTTGGGAACTGAAGTCAGAGGCACGAACACTAAATCTGAGCATTTTTCTGTAGACTTTTTCTTCTGGCCCTTGTCCCTGCCGGCAAAACATCCCTTTTCTGATCATTCGCGGGCAGAGGCCGTCCGTAATGCCACTCTCTCCATCTTAGAGAGCCTTCTTCTTTCCTCTGAGGTTTGAACTGATGTTCTGTTTCTTCACACCCTGGCATGACAGTTACGTATGGTCAGCCCAGGTCCGTCCCCGCCACCAGGTGTGGGCTCCAGGCAGGCCGCCAAGGTTACACCCCCCAGAGCTTATGATCTTCATTTTCTGACAGGTGAAGTGTGAAGGAACCCAGACTTCCCCAAGCCACGGTGTTCAGTCAGCCCACAGGAATATGCAAGACCCATCTCCAAAAGTTTGTCTTTCATTTTTCCCAAGCTCTTAGCCCCATAAGCTTTAGATTCTGTAGTTACAGTGTCATAAAGGATTGACAAAACCCGGATTAAGAAAAACATTTTTTTCTGTGATTTTTTTATTTTTTTAGGGGAAAGGGATTCTAAGAATGTCATTCAATGTACTTTGCATCATGTCTCTGGAAATATCTTTGTCCATAGTGGTGGTGGTGTCTCTCTCTCTCTCTCTCTCTTTTTGCTTGCTTCTGTTTTCTTTCTTGCCTTCATTCTTTCTTTTCTTTTTATTTTTGGTAGCAGGCCTCCATAGAACAAATCTAAAACACAACCACCATAGTAATGTAAGGAGAGCTTCAGTGGCACCTCACAACCCACCCTCCGAGATCTGTCCAAAGACAGTCTCAGAAAGCTGCACTGCCCACCGGCTCAGCTTTCATTCAAACAGGCTTCCAAAGCCAATTCTGTCTTGAAGTCAATGCATGTATTTACTGTTTGACAGTAAACCCACTCTGCCTTCTCCACGTCCAAGGCTGTGCATTCGTCTAATTAGCGTCGTGTATGTTTTCCTTTTATTTTTTCCAATAAAAAAGCAGTGGGATGAAAATTGCTTTGATATATAGCAGGTAACATTGAAGCTATTCCATAGCACTTAACTGTAGTGAATACTGTGTCACCAATTTTGAAATCAATTTAATGTTTAATGCAAATCCATTACATGGTGCTATTATAGGCTGACAAAATGATTTACACAAATGTGACAACTTGGGCTCAATTCACTCTGCTTTCCAACAGTGTAAATGCATAGCAGTGTTTATCTGCATGAGAACTATGCACTAATCTATCTGAAGAAAAAAAAAACTATATCAACTTTGGTATCTACTTTCCGTTTACTTCAATCCTTGCCTTTTTGGTCATTGTTATAATGCCAGCTTTAGGACAGAAAGAATTATAAGAAAACCAGCATAATACCTGATATATTAAAATGTAGTGCCTGTGAAATCTGTATTATATTGCTCTTCTGAAGTAAGATTTTTCTACACCGGTAGCCTTCGCTGTCTGTCAGTCAGGACCTTCTGGTATAGGTGATGTAAAATAACCGTACAATATTAATGCATGCTATTCCATAATGCTTAGTGAACTGTATGAATATTACTCAACGTTATGTTAGTCTTTTTTCTGACTTGGTTCTTGTCAGCTAGGTTTAAAGGTATTTCACTGAGAACGCAAATTCTGTCTTTTCTTGATTTCGGCTGTTTTCAGTATTTTGGAGGTATACATTTACTTAAATTCAGTATTACTTGTGTTTTTGTTTTTGTTTTTTGTTTCCTTTTTCCTAGGGGACAAGCATGGGTGTTTGATTTCAGAAATCAGTACCTGGCAAGATTTTTGTCTGAAAACCACCGTTTGAATTTCAAGAACTCTGCTACGAAGACGCTCTGAAAACATTTGCAAGGGAGGGACATTTTCCTTGGCCCTCAATGGAGGCTCTGCTGAGACTGAAACATTTTCTTAATGGACAGTGTTTAGCCAGGTACCCATGCTTGATCCGTCTTCACACCAGACCTCCTCATATTAAAAGGAAAAAAAAGAAAAAAATTTTAAGAAATCACATGGCTATTTAGTTTCATGCACAGTTGCAATATTTTCTTCAAAAGTAAAACTCTGTACAAACTTTGGGCCCGATTCATAAGAAAAAGAAATTTGCTATTAACACGGGATTTTTTTTAATGTACTTTTTTTGATCTAAATTTGAAATTACTTGCTTCCCAAATTAAATAAATTTCATCTCATTTTTTTTCCCTAAACCAGCACCCATCTGCCTTTTATTCCCCTGAAGAGTAACCTTACCCAGATTAGGGGGAGGGCATGTGGGGAGCAGATAGCGGAAATGCTTAGAAAGATAAGGGGGACCACCCACAGCTGGGCTTAAGAACAGGGAGACATGTGTGGGGCTGGGGCCTCAGCTGTGTGCCTGGTACCCTGAGTTTCACATGTAGACTCATTCACCTATTTGATTCAAAAACGCAAACTTTCCCAAAATGTGTCTGAACCACAGGAGGATACAGTGGAAGTGCTACCTCTAATCTAACCAGAGCACCTTCGTGGTGGAAAACTCCCACCAGGTCGTACAATGTGAACTTTCGTATCTCTGCAGTGGTATCCAGGACAAATAGTGTCCAATGTAACATTTTTCCTGCTGTTTTTATACTCAGCTTCTCAAAATGAAAAAACCTTTTACTTTTCCTTTGACTTTTTTTGTGTTCTTCTTATTTTTAAAATTTTTATTTTTTATTTTTTTGGTAATAGTCTGTAAATTAGCCTTTTTGGGTTTTGTTTTTGTTTTTGCTGTTGGGTTTTTTTTTGTTGTTGTTGTTGTTTGGTTTTGGTTTTGGTTTTTTTTGACATTGCAACCGAAGGTCATAAGGCCGCTAGCTCTGCTGGGACAGAGGCTTGAGAGAGCTGCCGGCTAGGTGCCTTCTCCCTGGTCTCAGACCATCGTCTCTGCACTGCGAAGGCATTTGGTAGCCTCACCACTGAGATGCTAACTAGACCTAGACTAGGAGCTTTATCAGGTTCTAGGAGGTCCTTTAGGAAGACTCTCACAGGCAAATTTCTGATCCCCTGCTCCATCCTTAGCCCTGCCCCCTCACCGGAGCAAAGTTCACTGGGAACTTTTCCCACCACACATGGAAATCTGTCCACTCGCAATACCTCCATTTTCCATTTCAAATTGTAGGGGGAGGGGATGGAACACTTCTAGTGATGGTAAGAGATCCGTTGTGAAACGAAACACCCCCGTGTTAATAACTTGGTCTGAAATCTGTTTTTATGAGCCGGGCCCCCTGTGCCTCTAGTATACTTGTATTGACTCTCATAGTTACCCTTTTAGTTTTACTGTGTTCTGTGAAAATTTGTAATTGGTTGAGAATCACTGTGGGCGTCCATTCTTATTCAACTAAATCTCCACAGGTTTTTTGAGCTGGTGTGGATTAGTTTAACTCTTGTATTCAACCATTAGTGCTACCACCTTCTCACATTACAATACAATTACTGGAAGCAAGTACTGCATTTCCTATGCAACAAAAAAGGAAAAATAAAAAATTGCTAATGCTATGGAAGCTGTGTCATCATTTGCTTTACAGCTTGCCTGGGTGATTGAGTGATGGTCATGGGTGTGGACTAGAGGCTCCCACGGAAGATGATTTTTATGCCCTGTGGGGTTTGTCAGGCACATAGTATCCTTGGCCATGCTCTGATGGGCAGTGTTATTTTTTTCACCTACCTGGACAAATACAGTACTTGACACTCACATAGTGCTTACTATGTGCCCAATACTGTTCTGAGTGCCGTATATATTGTATCAGTCGGAACCCCATCGGGAATCAGGGATAGGATCCAATGGGTTTTCCAACAGGGTCTGTAAAGTTACCTAGGTATTAGTAACTGTGGGATACAGCCACCACCCCTGGAGCTGGGGAAATGGAAGGGAAAGATGAGCTTACTAGAACCTAGGCACTCAAGGAGGGATACCACGTAGCTGATATTTGGGTCTTTTCTGAGAGGGGTGGTCACCACAATGGTGGGGACAACACATGGCCAGTGCCCAGACCTCTGAGAGGACATGGGGTGCTGGTGCTAGAACCACTGTGGGGAATGAAGGGGGTGTTAGTACTTCTAAGGAGGTGAGGTGTGGCTGGTGCCAGAGTGCCCAGAGGGGCTGGAGGCTGCAGCTGTCCTCTGCTGTGATGGCCTTGTGGACAGAAACTGAAACCAGAAAGAAGTCCCTTTGCCCTCTTCCTCCTCCTCAGCTTCTGCTTGTCTGTCATGGGCTGGACCTAATGGTAGCCATCAGGCAAGGGAGTCTGGAAAAGTTAATGAGAAGAACATCAGCCCCAGCTCCATGGAGCAGAATATAGATGAGAGAGCTTGGAGACAAGATGATACATAAATAACAGCACACATGTCAGTCCATTCAAACCTCACAGCCACCCTGGGAGACAGGTACTGCTTTTATCCTCCTTTTATAGATGAGGAAACCAAGGCAGAGGGAGATTAAATAATTCATCCAAGGCCATATGGTGCATAATTGACAACATGGGATTTGAATCCAAGAAGTCCGGCCCCAACCTCTATCCTATAATCACTGTAATATATTGACTCTTTTAATTATTTATTCAATAAATACTTACTGAGTGCCTACTATGTACCAGAGACTATACCAAGGGCTAGAAATAGTAAAGATTGGGCATCTACGCTGATTAAGTATGCATTCTAGTAGACAAAAACATTATTCAAATAATGTTTGAACAGCAGCAAAGGTAAGCATGTAGTTGTGATGAGTGCCATAAATGATATACATTGATGGGGGAGGATGCCATGAGCTGAAGAGTTCGAAACCACCCTGGGCAACATAGAGAGACCCCCATGTGTACAGATAAAAAAATTTTTTTAATTGGCTGAGCATGGTGGTGTGCACCTGTGCTCCCAGCTACTTGGGAGGCTGAGATGGGAGGATAGCTTGAACCTGGGAGGTTGAGGCTGCAGTGAGCCATAATTATGCCACTGCACTCCAGCCTGAATGACAGAGTGAGACCCTGTCTCAAAATAAATTTTTAAAAAAGGATATACGTTACCATGAAAACCTAATGAGACTAGTATGATAGGTTGAAATTAATTAACCAGGCAAAAAAGGGAAGAATATTCTGGGCTGAAAAACCAGCATGTACAAAGAACCTGAGTCAACTTGGCACCTGTGAGGGGCTAGAAGAAGGCTTGTTTGGATGAAGAGGAGAAATGGAGAGGAAATGTACAAAATGAAGCTTGATATTTAGGTCAAGACTTTGCGGAGCCTTGAAAGGCAGGTTTATCCTACCCTCTAAGAGCTTTATAAAACATGTATCAGTCAGATTAGACTAGGTCTATGCTGTCATACAAACAAGTCCATAATCTCAGTGCCCCACAACAGTAAGGGTTTACAACTGATTCTACATGTCTATCAGAGGTTGCCTTGAGCCTCTGCATGAAATCTTCTCATTCTGGGACCCAGGGTGAAAAGTAGCTAACCATCTGGACCACTGTTGAATGTGTTAGCAAGGCACACAGCTGGTTTTTAACAATTCCAACTGGAATTGACACACGTCACTCTGCACGCATTTCACTGGCCAGAGCAAGTCACCGGGCCATGCCTGGGTTTGACAGGACCTGGAAGGATAATGCTTCCCCGGGAAAGGCTTAGAAAACATGACTTCAGACTAGTTAGGAGAGGAGAGAGAAATATGGCCTCAGTGGAGAGGGCTGCCAAAAAGAGCTACTGCAGCCATCAGAGAGATGACAGACTCCGAGGCTGTGATGCTCATGATAGAATGAAAGAGAAGTGGATAGATTCGAGAGATTAATACAGATATTAATAGCCACTGCATATTGAGCTCTTTCATGTGCCAGTGCTATCGGTGATTTATCCCATTTAATTGGATACGTTCTCTCTTATTATTATAACTCTCAGAAAGGTATAGTCAGTCCTTAAAACACTTTGCTGACTCAAGTGAACAGAGCAATTTCATGTGTACATGCCTTAGAGTTTAAGTTAGACCAAATCAGTCACTCCCTTATTTCAGTCTTGAGTATCTGGGGTAAAGAAATGGGAATGGAAGTCAGCCAACATCACCCCTTTATTGTCATACTCTATGACAAGTGGTGCGTGATACTGAGCTCAAAGGGAAGGCAGCACAGTGATCAAAACCATGGACTCAGGCCCAGACAGTCTGGGTCGAATTTTGGCTCTGCATTTTATTAGCTCTATGGTGTTGGCAAGTGCCTCAGTTTCCCCATTGGTAAGATGGGAATGTTTATGCCAGCACCTAACTACTTCATGGGGCTGATGTAGATAGTGGAGGAGTTAAAATATAAAGTGGTTAACAGTGGCTTGGCACATTGTAAATGCTATGTGAATGCTGTAACTAACTCAACAAATGATTCCAAAATGTAGACAGAAGGCATCCTTTCAGTGCACTGTTGGCATAAGCCTTCTTCCTCTTCTTGATCATTTTCAGGCCTCTATTTGGGTGAATTCTGAAACCTTTCATCTAACATCTGCCTCAACTAAGTAGGAGGAAGTCACATACAAAATGAGTCCAGGAATAAAGAAAATCTGATGTATATCCACAATGGAATATAATTCAGCCATAAGAGAATGAAATCTGCCATTTGCAGCAACATGGATGATGAGCCCAGATGACATTATTGTTAAGTGAAATAAGCCAGGCACAAAGAGACAAATACTGCATGTTCTCACTCATATGTGAAAGCAAAAGTTGATCTTACAGAAGTAGAGAGTAGACTATCGGTGACCAGAGGAGGGAAGGGTAGCACAGTGGGGAGGATAATGACAGGTTGGCTAATGGGTACAAATTATAATTAGGAGAAATAACTTACAGTGTTATTTTTATTTTATTTTATTTATTTGAGACCGAGTCTTGCTCTGTCGCCCAGGCTAGAGTGCAATGGTGTGATCTCGGCTCACTCCAACCTCCGCCTCCAGGTTTAAGAAATTCTCCTGCCTCAGCCTCCTGAGTAGCTGGGACTATAGGCATGCACCACCACACTCAGCTAATTTTTTGTATTTTTCATAGAGACAGGGTTTCACCATGTTAGCCAGGATGGTCTTTATCTCCTGACCTCCTGATTTACCTTCCTCAGACTCCCAAAGTGCTGGGATTACAGGCGTGAACCCCTGCAACCAGCCAAGTTATGGTGTTCTTATAGCACAGTAAAATGTATGTAGCTAACAATAACATAGTATATTTCAAGATAGCTTGAAAAGAAGGTTTTGAATGTTCCCAATACAAAGAAATGATCAATGTTGGGGGTGATTGATATTTCCATTATCCTGATTTTATCATTACACATTGTATACATATATTAAAAGAACACATGCACCCCATAAATATATATGATTATTATGTATCAATTTGAAAATTTTTATTGAGATGGACTCTTTGTTGCCCAGGCTGAAGCACAGTGGCACAGTCTCAGCTCACTGCAGCCTCTGCCTCCCGGGTTCAAGCAATTCTTTTTTTCTTTTCTTTCTTTTTTTTTTAACACCTACAGCACCCAGTATTCCCAGGCAGTCTCCCATCCAAGTACTAACCAGGCCCAACCCTGCTTAGCTTCTGAGATCAGGCGAGATCGGGTGTGTTCAGGGTTCAGGGTGGTATGGCCATAGACAGTTTCAAGGAATTCTTGATCCTCATGCCTCAGCCTCCTAAATAGCTGAGATTACAGGTGTGTGCCACCACATCCAGCTATTTTTTTGTATTTTTAATAGAGATCGGGTTGCGCCATGTTGCCTAGGCTGGTCTTGAACTCCTGGCCTCAAGTGATCTGCCCACTTCAGCCTCCCAAAGTGCCTGCCAGGATTATAGGCATAAACCACTGCACCCAGCCAAAACTTATTATTATTATTATTTTTTGAGATGGAGTCTCTCTCGTTGCCCAGTCTGGAGTGCAACAGTGCGATCTCTGCTCACTGCAACCTCCACCTCCTGGGTTCAAGTGATTCTTCTGCCTTAGCCTCCCAAGTAGCTGGGACTACCCACTACCAAGCCTGGCTAAAATTTTTTTGTATTTTTAGTAGAGACGGGGTTTTACTATGTTGATCAGGCTGGTCTCAATCTCCTGACCTCAGAGGTGATCTACCTGCCTCGACCTCCTAAAGTGCTGGGATTACAGGTGTGAGCCACACCCAACTAACCTAAAATATTTTTAAGAATTAATATGAAAGAAAAAAAGTGAATTCAGGATCTGAGACCAGACACACTTGGGTTTGTCATTTTGTTTTATTAGGGGCCTGCAATATTAGGGGCTTCGATTTCCCTGTAAGTAAAATGGGAATAAGAATAGAAACTACCTTTAAGGTCATTAAAAGAGTTAAATGAAATTAATGCATATAAAACACCCAGCACAGTATCAGCCACATAACAACTATTACTCTTTGGTGCCTCTCCCAGGAGAAGAATGCTGGCACCCTGGAAGGCAGTATTGTACAGTGGAAAGGAGCCTGGCTTGAAACTACAGGACTGGAGTGTGAGTCCCACTTCCACCGTTTACTGGCCATT